GGATCTTGATAAATCCGGCCCTAAGTCTTTTTATAAACTGCCTGTGAATATTTTGGTTTCAAAAGCACTAACAAAATAAGAATGAAACAGAGGTTTCAGTCTCAAATAGAAAGTGAAAATAAAGGAAATCATATATTTCGCCATTCAGTATCTCACCCTCAGAGCAAGTGTCGCCTCTGCGTCCAAGGTTACAGTGGCAGCGCGAACCTCCACTCTCATAATCAGTGAGGCAGAAACTGTCAGGTGGACACACAGTATCTCCACAAGTCAAGTCATTCACACGAGGTATCTCACCTTGCCAGCGTGAGATAGTAGGAACAGAAGTGGTGGGCAATGGTGAGCTGATGGAAATTCAAAGATGAGAAAGATAAAGTTTCAGTCACCATTTAAATCAAAATGTAAAGCAAAAAAAAATTATATAAAAATATATATATATAAATATATATAAAAAAGTTAGCAACAACAGTCAAAGCACCACTTTTTCTCATAAAAATAAATGTGCTTGTCCATCAGTAAACAAGGAAATAAGAACAGAATAGAATTGGTAGAATAGAACAATAAATGCTTTATTAGTCCATAAGTGGAAAAATTCACAGCATATCAGTAGTAAATAAATAAATGTTAAAAATATTTTAAAAAATCAATTGCTATGCACATAAAATAAGTTCTGCACACAAAAAAGTTTCAAACTTTGACTTAGAGTCTACAAATTAAAATTCTTTGTTCTTAATTTGTTATTTAAAATATATGCCTTATCCCCTTCACCTGTGATTGTTCCAGACTACAAAGTAAAATAATATAAACAAGTAATTCACTTTATCTGAACCCATATTACCTCGTGGTGGTAGGTAGGGCAATGGTTGGGGTGTCAGCAGTGTTACTGGGCTCTGACGCCAAAGCCAGATCTGTGAAGTCTAAAAGTATGGAGGAGGTTGTCGTAGTAACTGGTTTATCAGTGACATTTGGAGGGACGTTGGTGTTCATGCGGTAAATAACATTGCGTCCAGATGGTGGTCCGGGGTGTGAGCGCAGTTGGGATTTCCTGTTGTTCTCAGTGATACCTGGAAATGGCTTCAACTACGACATAAACAGGTTAAGTATAAGACGAATTTAAACATTGCAGTTTAAGTTAGATATTTTTCTCAGGCATTCAGTATTTAGTATCACATTGGAATTGAACATGTAAGACCTACCTCTTCAATAAAGACATCATAATCTGAGTCATCAATGTCAAATCCATCTTCATCTTTAAATCTGGAATCTGTGCTGTAAAGCCCCAAATCACCACTTCCCACATCCATTGGACCTGCCACAACCATGAGGCGACAATTAGAGAATCATATTCAAAAGAACAACAATAAAACATTCATACAGAGAAAGAGAGAGATAGAAAATTAAATTGCTCATCTTTTTTAAATAAAAACAAAAAACTCTTATGTGAAATATTAGTCTTTTTTTGTAGAGGTATGTAAAAATACTAGATTACAATGTGCATTTGCAACTAACTGCAAAAGAAAAAAATTTTTCTTTGCAACTTTTTCAGCCAGAGACATTCCTAGTTCATCTAAGCATGACATGGTTAGGGAGCCGTTTAGATTGGATGAAATAATTTAAGTGAAACTATTCATAATGTTCTAATAAAAAGATTGTAGTTAAGATTCAATAAAATAATTAAATGCCTGAAAATCTTAGTTGAGTAATAATTTTTTAAACAAAAAAACAGTTCTGAGGATGATATGATGAAATCTGTTTTGCACAGTTCTGCATGAAAAAAATTTTTACAACTCCCTTTTTGCTAATATCTTGTGTTAATTGCTAAGTTTCCTGAAAGTGTTAAAAAAATTCTTTTTTTTTTTTCAAACAAACTCTACAAAACAAATCCGAATGGAAGCAAGCCTGTACAACTCTATATGTATCGTCTTGCAGATCTTATTCTAGGAAGCCTTTGTTTCCTCAAACATAATACCCCACTGCCTCCTTTCTGCACTGCCTCTTCATCCATCTTAATTAGCAGTGTGTTAATCAAATTATCCTGAATGGTAAACAACTTCCAGTGTGCAGTGTAATTAAGTGTATTGTATACAGAGGCGTGCACAGACATTT